ACATCTAGATGCTGCTGGTGCCTAGACTCGAGCGAGGGGCACTTTAGAAATACTTTGGGTAGACAAATGGCTAGAATGATGTGTATGTAACTATGAAATACCGCTGCTTTTTGTTTTCAGTGCACTGTGCCTTTAAACCTCCCAGAATTCTGCTTGTGTGTGGAGACATTTGCTGCAGTCTGTTCCCAAGTGAAATGCACACACTACACTCTCTCCACTGGAGACTGTTTTTTGTTAGTTGGTTTGTTTCCTTAGTTTAAAGTAAAAGTCTCCATACTGGCAATTCCAGCCATTCCAAAATCAGGCTCCAAAAATCATGAGATTGGGTTAAAAAGCAAGAGTTTTAACAAATGTAGGGTTCTTTTTTTCTTTGCTTTCTATTGTCTTTAGCTTTTCGGGTTCACTTGCCTTATGTTTTTAAGCTTTTCTCTGCAATCATGAGAGCTAGAAATTTGCTTTTAAAAAAAAAAAAATTAAATGGAAACCAAGATTCTACCATCATCACGTGACTCCAGGAGTTGGTTCTTTAAGAAAAATGCCAAATATTGCAAGATTTGTGATTGGATCGTGAGAGTGAGCAATGCTGAGCCATCTTTGAACCAAAGATGGGATTTTTTCAAAGTGCTCAGCCTTGCTCTAACTTGCCTCGCGTCAGGGTCAATGGGAACAGGGCCGAGACTCGGTGCTTTGAAAGATCCCTCCTGGAAGGTGCATGGCATGTCCTTGTGGTTAGCAGAGCAGGACAGACAGATTATGTAAGGAATAGGTTGGTTCTTCTTTCTCCTAAGGTTCCATATATAAAAGGTTTAAGCACATTGCAGACATGAGCTGTATGTGTCCTGATGATTTTAAGCACATGCGTAGAAGCTGCCAGAGATAGTTATCAGCAAATGATGGACTAGCTGGACTCTCTAACCATGTGTGAAAACATCTCATAATTTCTTGTTAATCATTTATAGCCCACTTATAAATGGAGCAGGTTTTTCCCCTGCAAACAGTGCAGTTTAGTCAACCTTGCCTGTTGCAGATGCCAGCAGGGCTGCAAAAGACGCACATTTACCCGCAAGCCACTTATAATCAACCTGCTGCCAGGGCCGGCTCTGGCTTTTTTCCGCCCCAGGCAAAAAAGCCTCCCCCTCCCCGAGCGCGGCAGGGGAGGGCGCCAAGCCTGGCTGCGGGCCCGCTCTCCCCCACCGGCCAGAGCGCCGGGAGGAGGGCGGAGAGCCCAGCCGGGGCCCCGCTCTCCCCGGCGGCGAGCCCGGCCGGGGCTCCGCTCTCCCCCGGTGGCCAGAGCGCAGGGGGAGGGCGGCGAGCCCGCCGCAGCCCCACTCTTGGGCAGGAGCGCCGCGCCGTCCCCCTCCAGGTGCCGCCCCAAGCCCATGCTTGGCGGGCTGGTGCCTGGAGCCGGCCCTGCGTGCTGCTCTTGTTCAGTTCAAAAGTGGGACCTCACATGACACCCTTTCTGGAGCTTGTTTGCCAGCTGGAGAAGCTCCAGGCAGGGAGTGGGACTTGGAGTGATTTCCACGTTAGCTGGAAACCGCTGTCTCCTCTTAGAAATGTCAGAGATCAGTGCAACCCTGCGCATCACCTCTGATTATTTCCCCCTTCCTGGCCAGATCTCTTGTAAAGTGCCGTCCTTACCCAGCGACTTCCGCGTGAGCCGCTCAGCCACAGGGCTGGCGAGGTTTTCATCTGCACAGCTGCAGTGCTGGGCTTGGCCAGCATATCTGGGCAATGAGCCATTGGTGTCAGTTGCCAGAAGCGAGCGGAGGGCGGCAAGTGAATGAATGGGGCAAGCCGCAGGAACCCAGGATAATGAGGGAGGTCATTTCAACAGCTGGGGGGATTGCTGCTGCTGATGGGGATCAAAGCAATCGTGACTGAAAGGAGTCGTGCTGCCCGATGGACCGCTGGCCTTGCTGGGCGTGAATGGTTACACCCCTCGTCTGAACAAACCCTGAATCTTAATACCAGGGGAATCGGGAATCTGAACCTGGATCCGAACGTTAGGGTTCCCCCTTTATCTGTCTGTATAACAGGACAGACCAAAATCCTGCATTCAGACATTCCCAAACTTAATGGTGGGGAGTTCAGATCTGGCCCATCCCAAATGCAGGCCAGCGGGGAGGGCCTCGGGGCCTGGCGGGCAGCCTGAGCAAGAACGTCTACACTGCTAATTGAGCCCGAGTCCGTTGACCTGAGTTCTAAGAGTCACTGCTGCCTCCCCCTCCCCCCAGTGTAGACGTACCCATATACACCAGTGCAAAGTGGGCCTGATTCTCATACTAAGGCCCTTTTACACAGCTCTAGCAGGCTGTAAAGTGGGAGTCAATCGCCTTTCCTCACTTCAAGGCCCCTTCACGCTGCCAGCACGGTGTAAAGGGGCCTTAGTGTAAGTGAGAATCAGGCCCCCTGAGTGCAAAGTGGGTATAAAATGCCAGCAAATCAGAATGGTAACAATTCACACACACACACACCCCTTGGCCCTCCCCTTGTGCCAGTGTGAATGACCACGGTGCAGGGCAATGGGGAAGCGGGTCCTGTACTCAGGAGCGCCGCCAGCTTTTTTGCCGCCCTAGCTGGCGGAGGTCCCACCCCCGAAATGCTGCCCCCGACAGAGGCGGCAGAAGGTCCCACCCCCAAAATACCGCTGACGAGCGGGGCGGCCGAAGATCTGGTCGCCGCCCCCCAAATGTTAGTGCCCTAGGCGACCGCCTAGGTCGCCTAATGGATTGCGCCGGCCCTGCCTGTACTGTGCGGGCTAGCTTCCCACCCAGCCTTGTTTTGGGGCTGCACCAGATTTAGGAAGAGGAATGACAAAAATACCGACAAACCAGCCACTACCTCAAAGCTGGGACAGTCCCTCCCCAGCCCCCCCACCCCCGCGCTCCGGTGGGCGCTCCTCCCCCCTCCCCCACGTTGTCTCATACGAATACCTAGGACTCCCATTAGCACTTGGTTATTATTTAAGTGACAGTAGCATCTAGAGGCCTCAACTGAATTCGGGCCCTGGTTGTGCCGGGCGCTGTACGTGCACCTAGGTAAGTTTACACTGCAGTGGAGAGGGGGCTTCCCAGCACGGGTGGATGGTCACATGCCAGCACTGCTTGAGCGAGTGTGCTACAGATAGCAGCACGCATTAGCTGTACGTACCCAGGGGGTGGGCCAGGACCGCACTCCTGCAGCTAGCCCGAGTTGGTGTGGCCACACTGCTATTTTTAGCAAGCTAGAGTGAAGGACATAAATCCACCCTGTGTCGAGGTCAAGCACAGGAGTTCATTACACACAGCGCTGGCGGAGTGTCGCCTGGCTTATTAGGCTCAGAGACACCATCAATCAATTGATTACAATAGAATATATAGATTTTCCATGGGTGGGGGGAAGTGACGGGGTAGGCAGTTCCACACCCCAGGATAGGTTTTGCAGCAAGACAAGATAGCACATTAGCCAGTGGTTAACCGGTTACATAATGTCTCCGCCCATGGTCTCAACTTAGCAAGTTAACATTTAATTAATACTTTGATAAAATGTTATTAGTATAAAATATATATGTTGAATTCTGATTTGGGGTCCATAGGAATGGAGCAACTCCTTTGATTGTCCAACAGGTACATTCCTAGGGGTTAAAGCAAAGAAACTGAAAGTATAGGGCAATAAAGCTTGTCTCCTTTATGTCTTAAGGCAAGCATTGGTCCCTGGGAAGGGAGGTGGAAGGATGCCTTATCTTATACTGATATGTGCCAACTTTTCATAAACTCAAGGTTGGATCTGTGGGAAGAACGTTTCCCTGCAGAAGAGGCTAACGCAATAGGAACAGGGATTCTTTGTTCAATTTGAAACATAATTATTCAGTTATTGCTTCAACATCTGGCATTTCTACCGACCAAGCATATCTTAGCAAAGGCAGTGTTATCTTGTTTATTCCAGTTTTCTCCTAGCTGATCGCTATTTGCTAGGCCTCTGGTCTCTTGACCATACTCTGGACTTTGGGTCGGGAAAAGAGCTGGCACAATTCATATACCAGGTTGTTATATAAAATGCACATGGATTTTAACCCTTCATAGAGCATAGGCGCTGACTTCCCCTCTGCCCGGTGGGTGCTCGACCCCGCCCCTGCACCGCCCTCATTCCACCCCTCCCCAAAATCCCCCCCCCCCCCCCCTTTTCCCACCTAAGCCCCGCCCCCATTCCACCCCTCTTCTCTGCCTCCTCCCCCGAGCGCACCGCATCCCTGCTCTTCCTCCTCCCTCCCAGAAAGTCGTAAGCGCCACCAAACAGCTGTTAGGTGGCAGGGACGGGGCAGGAAGCACTGGGAAAGGAGCGGGGATGCAGCATGCTCGGGGAAGGGAGAAATAGGCGAGGAGGGGGGAGCTTGGCTGCCAGTGGGTGCGGAGCACCCACTAATTTTTCCCCGTGGGTGCTCCAGCCCCGGAGCACCCACAGAGTCGCCTATGAGCTAGAGCATCTGTCTACCCATGCTGGAAAGCACCCTCCCAGCTACAGTATAGAGACACCCCTAGTGAGTGATAGTCCCTGCCCCAAAGAGCTGACTGTCTCTATCGACAAAACTCAGTAGAGGAAACAGACAATGGCAGGTGAAGTAGCACCCCGGTGGTCACACAACAGGTGGGTGGCAGGAACAGAACCTGTATCTCCTGAGTCCCAACCCTGTGCCCTATCCACTAGACCATGCTGCTGTACCACTGCTCATGCATCTGTTACAAAGGTGGTTCTCACTGTCTCCATTTTACAGGTGTGGCAGCGAGGCAGGGCACCATATTGTGCCTCCCTCTTTGCTGGGCTCGTTGTCCCTGCTGGTTGGAGTTGCGTAGGTCTGCCAGTCTGTGGCCCACGCTGGGGCTGGTTCCCGCTCCCTAGAGCCCTACACAGAGCGGGTCACACGTGCTGCAGGGCAAACGGTCCCCGGGAGCGATGGCTAAATGGTTCTCCCAGGGAAGGGGAATATTTGTCACAGAAGAGTCTTTCCTCCTGCCTTCCAGATCTTGGCCTCCCTGGAGGAGCAGAACTTCACAGAGGCCTGGGGGAAGAAAGCGAAGGAACTCTATGGCTCCATCTGGAAGAATTTCACAGACACTCAGCTGAAGAGTATCATTGGCTCCATCCAGACCCTGGGGCCTTCCAACCTGCCCCTGGACAAGCGTCAGCAGGTAGGCGTCGTGCTGGGTTGCTCTGAGAGCGGGTGGGGAAGCGACACCCAGTGAAGCTAAGGGCACGTCTACACTGCAGTTAGACACCCGTGGCTGGCCCGGGCCAGCTGACGTGGGCTCGGGCAATGGGGGTTTTTTAATTGCAGTGTAGATGTTTGGGCTGGAGCCTGGGAAGTCACCAGCTCCGGCTAAAATACGGAGCTCTGCAGCTCGGATTTTCCCAGCTGCTTTTCTGCCCGTTGGCCCCACTGCAGGCCTGCTGTGAGCGGGTGCAGCTCCTCCCGCTTGGATGCCGGGCCGCCTGCCGGAGCCTGCCTGGGGTGGAATGCCAGCTCCGTTCACTCTAGCACGAACAGGCAGGGCGAAACCTGGCAAACAGCAAAGCAGCGGCAGTAGCAGAGTCCAGCGATTGCAGGTGAAAGGTGGGAAACACCAACCCAGACATCCTGGGCCTGCTTCCCCGTCTCCCCCCGATAATAACTCCGTGCAGCAGGGGGCCCTGCCGTGCGCAGCTCCAGGTCTGCCAGCTCTGCACTGCCTGCACAAGAGCTCCCGGTGCCGGGCATGTTCCGGGGCAAAGCTGCGGTGGAAGGAGGCGTGGCTGTGCTGGACTTGTGCTCCAGTGATTCTGCGTCCCCGCATGGCCCCGTAGGCACAGATCAGCCAGGCAGTGGCAGGTAGGAGAGCCAGGTCTCCGATTCCATGTTCATCCCACGGCAGTTTGAGCGTTCCCACTAGGTCTCTTATCCAGCTATCAACTTCCGTGCATGGCCTACGTGGATTTAGTAAATATAGAGTCCCTATTTATAACCAGCAGTAGGGCTGTTTCCCCAGCCCAGGAAGGATTAAATACTATGCCCAGGTCATGAGCAGGGCCTTTCCTCAGTGTATGGTTTGTTCATTCCAAGAATGAACTAGCAAAGTGACCCAGAACAAAGCTGGTTCCCTGGCCGGCGGGGTCAGAGGCCTTTCTCTCTGCTCCAGGGCCAGTCCCAGGAGTCAGCCAACTTCCCTCTCGCAGCTCCCGTTCCAGCCGGGTGGGATAATCAAACAGGGCTGGCTGGCCCGCTCAGACCCCTGACCCTTAAAAGAGCAGACCCCCTGTTAGTTAGTCACCATGGTTGTCCTTTAAAGGTAAATCAGTGCATGCTCCTGTACTGTGTGACGCCACAAGGAACCCCCATGCAATTAGAATAAGGCCAAGGCAGAGGTGGAGGGAAGATCGGAAAGCAATCAGGGCCATCAGGTAGGAGTGCGAGGTAGCAGGCAGAGTTTTCACAGTGGCCCAAGGGAGGCTGACGTTGAAATGGATGAGAACTGACCCTCCAACTCTCGGACCAGGAGAAGCGCGAGTGGACCAGCCAAGGTAGAGAGCGGAAGGAGTGTCGAGTGCCTAAGGGAAGGGTATGTGACTGGGAAGCGGATTGAGCGGGTTTCTCTTGGAAGAAGTAAACATTGCAAACGAATTGAAACCCAGCGGGTGCCGGAGTGCTTCCCGCGGGAAGGAGAAGAACCAGGGGAGCCAGAAATAAACCAACGGGCCCCAGTCCCGTGGAGGCGTGAGATGCTGTAGGAAGACCAGAGGGAGGCCGGGCTCCAGGGCCTACGTTTTTCAAAGTCCCTAGTGATTCCGGGGGCCCAAGCCGAGATCGGTCTGAAGGGGGCCTGGTTTGCAGAGGGCAGATGCTTGGCACAGTCTGGGAATCAGGCCCCTTTAAGGCCTCTCAAATTGGGCACCCCAAAGAAAATAAATCACTCGTCACTTTGGTACATGTAGCCCCAGTGGCGGAGGGGCTCTGCCCCAGGCTTCAGCTTGAGGAGTAAAAAGGGGAACGGTTCCTAGCAGCTTGATTTAGAGTCTGAAATTCTGCGCCTCCAGAAGGTGCAGGCCCAACCTCCCGGCCCACGGCGCTGGAGGGCAAAGGCGGCTTTCAGTCACCTTCTCACCCTGGGCTGCCACGGAGGTCAGTGTGGGCCCCGCTCTAAAATCAGCTCAGCCAGCAGCCTCATTCATGGCACCCGCCCAGGGCGGCCTGTTGGGCCTGAGAGCAGATGGTGCAGAGAGGCATGGAGATGCTACCCCATCCTGAGAACCGGTCCCAAGCCCTCCTGCAAAGGAATGCTGGGGCCCCCACTGTCTACGTAGGTACTTCTCTGCCCCCCCATCCCCACAGCATCTGAGCCAATCACAATGGTTAGTGAGTGCAGCCTCCCAACACCCCTGGGAGGCAGGGCAGGGCTCTTCTCCCCATTGTTCAGGTGGGGAACCGAGGCCCAGAGAGGTTAAGTGACTTGCCTGAGGTCACCCAGGGCTGTGGCAGAGCAGGGGCTGTCAGGACCATCCTGCCTGTCTTACAAAGTCGCTGTGTCAGGACGCTGGACAGGCTGTAATTTGCTATGGGACAAGGAGGGCAGTTCCGCCCTCCCAGACTTTTCATGCGCACCCCTTTTGGCCCCCGACTTTGCAGGGTATCATACGTTCACATCTAATGGTCTAGTCTAGATGCTGATACAACTCCCCCAACCCCCAAGATTTTTTCTGAAATGACGCCCCTACTGCCGAATCAAAAGGGGCCCCTACCACGGCTTTCGCCTTTCCTACGATGGCCTGATTCCCAGGGCATCAATGTCTCCAAGCCTCAGGGCTTCGATGGAAATGACTTTTTCTGTACCTTGCTGGCCAGGTGTGCGGCCAGCAAAGTGTGGGAGCCAATTTGCCCTGCAGCTTGGGCAATGCGTTTGCACGAAAGCTCAGCCCGCGGCGGTAAAAGGCTCCAATGAGGATCTGATAGCACCTTGCACTGGTGTAAACAACTGCGCGGGGCAATGGGGAATCAGGCCCTCCGGAGCAGTGAGGGTACAAAGGGCAGGCGTCCTGGAGGCACAAACTGGTCTCACATCTGCTACACCATGCCAAGGGGGGCACACAAGGGCAGCTGGGGGCAAGCACTGGGGTAGTGGCCTCAGATGAATAGGTCAGAGAAGCAAAGACAGCACATTTTTTCTTTGATCGGGGGAGGAAACATCATTGAGGTTTGAAGGGAACGGGGGGGGGGGGGGGCAGGCGCTGCTGCCAGGTCAGTTGACACACTGTCTAAAAAATGAACAATGCAGCAGGACAGGGTGCTAAGGAAAATACAGGCAGGAAAGGCAAGGCACCGAGGCCAAAGGAGAGAGCAGAAATGAAAACAGCTGCAGCTTTGGCAGGAAATCACTGTCCAGGCTAGAATTTTTCCAGGCCGCCCCTGTGGTCAGGAGAAGCCCCACGGGATCTGTGATGCTCACCAGCGAGCGGGTCATGGTTGTTACCCGCTCCAGAAGTCAGCATGCTGAGGGGAAGGGGGGGGCAATTAGTCAGGAATGAGTCAGCGCGAAGAGCACCGCCTCGTGACTGACCACAGCTCCTGGGCGCTCCGTGGCTGCCTCCCATCCACGTGCAGCCCCTGCCCACATCTGCAGAGCCCACGGGGTTAGCGGTGCTGGTGTGACTCTGGGAATGTGGGCAGCGGGTTGCTCCGGGGAGTCAGGCAGGCCCCACTCTGAACGCTGGAGACTAGGCAAGTTACTGCTCTCCGCAGAAATCCTTTTGCCTGGCTCCCCGGCGGGCAAGTGGAGTCTGATTTAAAAGCAAGTGGAGTCTGATTTAAAAGCACAGAGACCCCGAGCTCTGCTGCTCCAACCCTCCTCCTAACCCTGTGCAGGTTTAACCAGACTCATTCTGCCTGTGCCAGCCAGTGCCCACCAGCATCCCTTCCTCCCAGCAAAGCAACCTCACCGTGGAGCATAGCCTGGCCCTGCGCTAGCGCCAGCAAAGGAATCGGGAGGGAGGGCCTGGGCCGCCCGCTGCCAAACAGCTTGTGTTGTCGTTTAATCGGGTGCAAAGTGCTACCAGAGCCGAAATCTGCACCCACTGGGACTGGTGAGAACATTACACACTCACGCTGGGCATAGTGAAATCATTTGTACTGGCGAGAGCATTTCACACCTCCAAAATGTCCCCTTCTTAAACACTCTGTGGTGCGCTGGTGCTGCTGCTCTAATGCCGTGCTGTGCCTCCTCCCCAGAGACAGTCGCAGTTGGGTGATGGCCAAAGCTGTTTTTCTCTGCAAGCAGGGCAACATTTTCCAAAAAGCTCAGGGCCTGCTCCTCAAGGGCTCCGTGCCCACAATGGGGGACAGGCTAATGGGAGAGCTCAATGTGTGCCCGGGGAGCTGGATTCTTTGGGAAATCTGCCCACTTGGTTAAGTGCCTAACTGGGAGCTGAGCTCTCCCAAGGAACCTGGGTCCGGTTTGCGAAGGGCACTGGGAAGCTCCAGGATGAACTACCGTGTAGCAGTGTAAGTTGTGACACTGGGACCTCACCCCACACGCTGGTGCTAGATTCACAGCCGTACTCCCTCGGTAGGCCAGGCTTCCCGAGAGCAGCGTCAGCAGCGTCTCTCTCCCGCCGAGAGACGCCTCAGCCATTCTTCGCAGGCAGAACAGAAGCAGCAAGTGTTGAAATCTCCTTCCTGCTGATTAGCTGTATTTAGTCCTTCCCAGCCATAAGGCTTGTAGTGATTGCAAATACCTTCCTTCTCCAGAGGAAAGGCTTCCCGCCCGGCCCCCTCCCGCCTCCAGCAGCGAGCTCAACCTGAGGAAGGGACAAAGCCCTGCCCTTTCCTCTCCTGGAGATTGTAGTTGCAGGCAGGATGCAGAGAATGCCCTGTTGCTATTGTCTTGTTGCGGGCAGTGACCATAATAACCAATGCAAATGTCTTCCCAAACTTTGATCTTCGCTCCTTCACTAAACTGAGCCAGCTGCAGCAGTAGAGGGAAGCTGCACTCCCGGATAGCTGGAGCGACTGCTCCTTTTAAAAGGACTTTCAGTTCGGGTATTCCCCCAGAGCGGGCCTTTCCTCCCAAAGGGCTCTATCCGTGAGAATCATTTTACCCACCACTGCAATGCAGCCCCCTCTGGGGTGCAATGTGGCAGCTGTTTAACACATGATGCCACACAGCAATTTAGGACAAGAAGCGCTAATGGCCATTCCATTGAAATGGAATTTTAGGGAGCAGGATGTGATTTCCCAAACTGGAATTTGGCCGGAACAATGGGGCTAACAATTCTACTTATCTGAAAACCATCGTGGGATCTTTAGTGGTCAGGGCCTCAGGCCTCCATCTCATCATCCAAGCCACACTTTCAGCAGCATCAAGAATGCCCCCCTGGCTTCACGGGAAAAGCACCAGCAGAGGCTAGAGGCCTCAACCGGGATCAGGGTCCCATCCTCGTGCTGGGGACTGCACACCCGCAGAGTGAGAGACAGTCCCTGCTGGAAAAAGCCAACCACCTAAATAGACAGGAAGGGAAACAACTTGCCGGAGGTCACACAGCCAGCCAGTGGCAGAACCAGGAATAGAGACCAACTCTCCTAACTCGGCATCCTATCCACCCGGACCCCCTGCTTGCTGAATACAATTCCAGCAGCACTTTGCTGGCTTCCTGCTCAATCCAAGGAACTGTATTCCCTGGAGATCTGAGTGCTGCCGAAGTCAGTCCTATGGGGTGGGAGGATAGGTGGGCACAGCCCATAGCCCAGCGTTCACTGGCAGCTGGCTACGTGGGCTATATTAGGAAGCTCCCCATCTACAGAAAGGGACATAGACCGTAGATGAGGCAGCTTTTCTTGGCATAAGGCGAGGTGGCCATGCTGGGATGTAGGTGCCTTGGCAGAGCAGGGGGAGGGCAGGGGTGGATTGGCAGGGTGGTGCAGATCAGGCTGGTAAAGATGGGGAGTGGGTGTGAAAACTGGCGGAGGAGAGGTTGTTGCAGAGGACTCGGGTGCCTGAGCGAAGAGCTGTGTGCGGGGGGGGGGGGGCAGGACAGGAATAGCGGTGGGGGCTGCAGGGCGAGCCGGGGGTGTACTGGCAGAGCGATGAGTAGCAGGGTCGCTCTAGGTCAGGATCGAATTGTGTTGGTAGATTGTGGGGCAGGGAAGGGACTCTTTGCACAGCATCTGTCCGCCCTCTGCCCGCTACAGCATTCCTCTGGCCCTCGGGATGGGCGTCCCTCGTTTTCGATGGATCCCACATAAGCCTGACATGGTCCCCTGCAGATTGTCGGTGGCAGGCGGGCTGACTCAGGAACCCAGGGTCACTGACACTGTTCATTACACCCCATCACCACTCCTCACCGTGGCTCGCTGAGCCATCTGGGCCCGGGGCAGGCTGGGAGATGCATGGCCTGGCTCCTCCTAACCAGTCGGATCGGCTCCCCGTTTGTCCCTTATTTTAACGAGCACTGACAACGCACGCCCACAGAAAAGCACACTCCACCTTCATGCGTGCACAGCCCCCCTTCTGCCAAATCACCCACCCATACACCCCCCAAACCACACGCATGCCCAGCCTTCTTCCTCCACACACATTAAATGACACCAGCCAAACCACACACACAGCCACCCCCACCTGCAGTCCCATTCACCCTCACAAACTCACCCACAAAAGTACCCCCACAAAACTACAGGCACGGACAATTTTTTCCCACCACAACATACTCCCGCATGCAGGTGTGCACCCCTCCAGTCTACACATGCACCAAACTACACGCATTCACACCCTCCCTGGAAAAACGACATGCACCGAGCACCCCGTACCAAAGTGAAAGGCGCCTCAGAGGCACCGTCGATACATAGGCGGAGTATCCCCGTGCCTGACCTCGGACTGGATTGCCCATGTGTTGAAGGAAGCCCCGAGTCCATGTCCTTCGACCCCTAACATCTGCTTTTGCCTCCTCCCCTAGTACAACACCCTCCTGAGCGAGATGGACAATATCTATTCCACGGCCAAGGTGTGTCCTCCAAACCAGACCTCCAGCTGCTGGGCTCTGGAGCCAGGTACGGTGCCTTCCCGTCCCAGCTGACCCGTATTCTGTCGCTTTCTGAACTTGGAAGCGCCTTGCTCAGGGGGTGGGTCTGAGTCTGCAAGGTGCTGAGCGCCCTCAGCCTCTGCCGGAGCCAATGGGAGCCGGGCGCGATCAGCACCTTCCAGATTTGGGTCCCTTCTTGAGGAGGCAAGAAAGCAGCGCAAAGCCTCCTGCTTGCTCAGTGGCCCCGATCCTACCGGTCAGTGGGAGTTTGGTCACTGACTTCAGGGGAATTTGGAAGCTCTAAGCCAGGGTTGGTAGTTGAGGGGAAGGAAATCAGACTCCCCGGTTCATCTGGGCAGGGAGGAATCACAGACGGCCGGGTACGCGATGGGCCTTCAGACACTTTCTCTGAAGTCTCAGGCACTGGCCGCTCACCACAGGCAGGTGACAGGATGAGGGGGTCCAATGGCATGAGAGCCCCTACGTTAGAGGAGCTGCTATGGGGGGACTGGAAGGCTGCCATTGAACTGGAGATGGGGTGAGGGAAGGAGAAAGGGGGTGTCGGGCTGCTCCTGGCGGGCATTAGAGCCGACAAGCCTTCCTGCATCACAACTTTTGCGCCCTCCGCAGCCGCAGGATCCTGCTCCAATTTCAGATGTCCAGCGCCCCGGGTGGGGGAGCTGTTTGGATCTGGGGTATTTGTTCAGCATGTTACAGGCACAGGGGCTGCTGGGGTTTGGTCTGCAGACGCCCCACCATTCCCGGGGCTCTGGCCCCTTGTGAAGCCAGGGCACTGTCTGGCACCCCGATATCTGTGAGCGTTTGGCTCCGTCTCTGCTTGAGCCGTAGAGAACCAGACGGGGGTTCACACCCCTCCCTCTGCCCCAGCCTGTGTCCGTGCAGCGGGGGATCCGCGCCGCCCTAGGAAGTTGGGGAGACCTGTTGAGGGTGGAAAGAAACTCTCCCTGTGCGTGACGAAAGCTGGCGTGACTCTCTGTCGTCTTTTTCTCTTTCGTGCCTCAGAGATAACCGACATCATGGCCAACTCCCGCAGCTACAAGAAGTTGCTCTACGCCTGGGAGGGCTGGCACAGCTCAGCTGGAAACCCCCTGAGGCCCAAGTACGAGGAGTTTGTGACGCTGAGCAACGAAGCCTACAGGATGGACGGTGAGAGGGACCTAGGACAGCTGCTATTGCAGGCATCTCTGTCACCAAGCAGGGGGCGGGCGATGGGGGAGCCTCACAAACCAGCCCCAAACTCAGCAACACCTGATGAAGGACAATCGCTCCTCCTGGGGTCAGGAGGCACCTCTCCTCCCTGCGTCGCCCCATGCCCACGGCACGGCACTGCGTGAGGAGTGCATTCGAGGCGTCAGAGTCGCCTCTCGCCCGGATGTAAATCAGGAGCCCAGGGAACCCCGCTGGTGGAAGCGAGGGGAGAGTCACGCCCGGGACGTTTCATGCCACATCTGACACTGGGCAACGCAGGAGACAGGATGCCGGCCTCGATGGCTGTGGGTCCATTTCAGCACGGCAGCCCCTGTGCGCTGGGGCAGTAGCCGGGGCTCAGTTTCCCTATTGCTGGTGCATTCGTGCTCAGCTACACCCCCCCCCCCCCCAGTGAAATGTAAGTGAGATCAGACGCTGGCCCACTGCGCGAGATGCCTGGCTCTGGCCAAGCTCTGCTCTGCAGCAAAGGGAACCTTGGGGCTGCTCTAGCCTGGGCCTAGCAGAGTTCTGGCCACGCCCCCTTTCCTCTCACCACACCCCCTTTCCTCTGGCCATGCCCCTGCTCAGTAAAGCCGGGGGAATGAGCAGGGATGTACCAGCTGGGGATTCCCCCCCCCGTCCCCGGCTGGCAGCTCATCTGGAGGGGCAGGCATCCCTACCCACCGGGGACAGGGCCTCTCTCTGCCTTTCATGCAGCCCTCCAGCAGGCATCCTTGCTCCCCCAGGGATGATTTTGTGCAGAAAGGCAAGGAGGGGCGGTCCCCGAAATGCCGTCCCCGGGCAAGACGCTGGAGTTCATTGCTGTTGGCCCTGTGCTCTCCGTTGCCAGGTTTCAAGGATACCGGCGCTTACTGGCGCTCCTGGTACGACTCGCCCACGTTTGAGGACGATCTGGAGGAACTCTACCACCAGCTGGAGCCCCTCTACCTGAACCTCCACGCCTTTGTCAGGAGGAAGCTGTACGAACGCTACGGCCCCAAGTACATCAACCTCCAGGGCCCCATCCCTGCTCATTTACTGGGTAAGTGGGCACAAGACAGGCCCTGTGCCCGCTGGGGAGGAACGCCCGCCTCTCCCACTCTAGGGTGCGAAGGCAATAGCTGCCTCAGGAGGATGGGGGTGTGCCCATGCAGATCTGGGCTGGGCTGGGGGCAGTGCAGGCTGACCTTGTGCTAAGGGAATTGGGAGGAGCGTGGACATGAGGTCAGCAACAGGAGGGGGAACTGTGGAGCGTTTGGGTAGCAGTGGGAGGCGGGATTCGGGGAAGGCAGCTGCAGCCCTACATGCCCAGCTCTGGATATTACATGTGCAAGGAACGCCGTACCCTGTGGGGAGTTGTTGGCAGCCGGGATCGAACCCAAGGCCTCTGGATCTAAAGGCACGAGCCTCCCCCGCCTGAGCTAAACGATCACGCTCTGCCGGTGTCCCAGCCACCCCCAGAGCAGGACAGAGCACGTCGCTAAGTGGGTTCCATACACGCCCTGCACATGTTCCTCTGCTCCTTCCCTGCACCAGCGCAGCTCGGGAGCCGCTGGGCGTAGCAGGGGCTGCTCCGCACTCAGCTCCCCCAGCAACGCTGAATGAGGCCCAAGGGCTCCCATGGCGTTGATGGGCCCCCATCACACAGGGTGGCTCTGGGAGATCCTATACACTGAGGTTCTGTCTTGGCATTAAAGATCTCCAGGGCACTTTCTCTAAGCGAGGAGATTTCCCAGCACCTGCCACTTCTGCATGCTCTGGAGCGACCATCCTCAACTCCAGCGGTGGCTACCTTTCAACCCAGAGTTCGCAGAGTGCTTTGAGCTGGATCATAGTCTCAGATCAGCCCGTCACTGCGTGACACGCACTCATGCTGGTGGCCCCCGACAATCAGGCCATGTGAGCGGCACAGCTGCTCGAGCTGGGAGCATATTGTTCTCAGTTATTTATCAGCCCAGAGCAGCTGCTCAAGGCAGTTCCAGATCTCCCCAAAGAGAGGAAAACAGCAGAGGGAAGAACCCAAACAAACCCCAGCACCGAGTCTGACCAGTCAGCGCTGGGGCTGCGCAGCCTGGGGAAGGAATTCCCAGATATTTAGCACTGGAACAGATTCCTCCACCCACCCGTGCGTGCTAATTACGCGGCTTTGAAGTTGAATTTATGCCAGGCGATTGGGCGGCGGGGGTGGGGGGGGGAGCACGAGGGAATGGGAAATGCTTGGGGCCAAGCTCTGTGCACGAGGTTGCATAGACTGTCGTGAACCACCCTCCATGCAGTAGTTATGGCAGGGCACCGCAGCGCCTTCCCAAGGGCTAAGGCAGGGTTAGGAAATCAGACAATTGCAAAGATCCCGGCAGAGGGCATATGATCCCACCCCGCCGCCCTTGCCCCATCTCCTCCCTCACCTGCTGGCGTCAGTAACCCGCTCTTCCGTAGTGCCCGTCGTCCGAAGAGCTTCCCGCACTTTTCCCGGCATCCTCCCTGTTGTACCGAGGTGTGATACGGAGTCACGGAGCCGGGCAGCGATTTGCCCAATGAGTCAATGGCAGGGCAGGCAACAGAGCCTGGGAGGCCCTGTGCCGTGCTCTGACCATTGGACCGCGCTTCCTCTTATTGCAGCTAGAGACAAGGGAAGGAAACCTCTCCTTCTCCAGCTCCAAAAGGCGCTGAAACGAGGGAGGAAAGTGAAGGAGCCGTCACATACCTTCTCCCCGACGAGCCCCTGCTGCTCTCCAAAGCTCCCTTTCTCCAGGGATGCTCCAGTAGACGGCCATCGGTTCTGTTCAGCTCCTGCAACCAGGCCAAGCTCTCTCCCTGGAGGAAAGGGTGCTGATGGGCCCGGAGCGCTCCGCCCTGTCTAGAGGCAGCCAGAGTTGGTTCATAGGAACAGCTGCCTGCTGTAGCAAACCCCTGAGCTGTGCTGTTCTCTCTCCAGGCAACATGTGGGCCCAGCAGTGGAACAACATCTACGATATGATGGTCCCCTTCCCGGGCAAACCCAACCTGGACGTCACCAGCACCATGGTGCAGCAAGTAAGAACCTGGCGGCCATTCGCTGCCCTTGTTTAGCCTCTTGCCCCGAAGCCTGACATGGGGCTTGAGTGCCGGGGATTGTGGGTAGAGGCAGGTAAATCACCCCGCAAGAGATGAGGACGTCCACCGGCTGCCCATGGGGCGGCTTGCGGAGCGCTGCCCGTGGCGATGGGCCGTGTCGCTCCTGGAGGGGCCGTGCTGAGCCGGGCGCGTTTTGCCCCATAGAACGTCTCTCATGCAAACTGCATCCCCCCAGCGCCTGGCCGGAGGCATAGACAGAGACACTCCGAGGCCAGAAGGCACCATGGTGGTCACTTGGTCTGCCCACCTGCATAGCACATGCCAGCAGGGTCGCCCGGGGGGGCAAGTGGGGCAATTTGCCCCAGGCCCCCACGAGAATATAGTATTCTATAGTATTGCAACTTTTTTTTATGGAAGGGGCCCCCAAAATTGCTTTGCCCCAGGCCCCCTGAATCCTCTGGGCGGCCCTGCACGCCAGAGGACTTCCCTGCATTGATTCCTGGTTGAACGAGAGCAGATCTTTTAGTAAAACATCCGGTTTGGATATTCAAACGCCCAGTGATGGAGAATGCAGTGCCACAGTGCAGGGCTGACGGGAGTGATCGTAGCACCACCAGCCCAAGGCCAACAGCAGAGGGAGAAAGAGAGGGGGGCTTCCCTTCTGTGGTCACTGCCCCCAGGGGAAACTCACGACAACGAACCATTTTCAGTGGCAACAGCCTCCAGGTCTGAGCCCCAGGGCGAATCTAATTTTCTGGGGAAGGGCTGATAAAAAGGCTGCCAACTTGGGCAAATCTGCTTTGGCCGCCCTCCCAGAATCTCTTCGGCAAGAGCCAGGCGAAGGAACGTTACTCGGTGTGTACAGCGCGGGAACAGAATGGGTCCAATTCCTCGCTGGTGCAAGGGGACTGGACCCAGGGCGGAATTAGGCCCAAGAAAGAGAAAAAAGCGAGAGAAGGGCTGGGAGGAAATGGAAAAGGGAGGGAAGGGGGGGGAGATAAGCAGCAGGGTGTGAGTGAGACATTTCTTCTTGGGCAGACAGAGAGACTCCAGGCAGCTGGACCCCGTGAGCCTTACTGGTGCTCCTGCAGCCAAAGGAAAGCTCCAGGGTCCCCAGCTTGCATCACCGTGGGCCACTCACATGCTCTCAGCACAGTCACGAGCAGTGAATGGGCGATTGCTCTGCGCAGCTTGTGTCTCCGGCTCCCTGGCTTGGGAGCAGGGCTGAGAACAGGACCTCGGTGGGCTGGGCAGGAGACAAGCAAGGGAGGAACCGCCAGCGGATGGAGTGGTGACAGAGCCTGGGCCGTGCCCTCTGAGCGCGGTGGTGTGGGGAGGGCGTAGAGGGTTAACGATCCAACCCAGCAGGCCGGATTTGTCAGGGCCCTGCACGTCGTGTGGTCATCCGCACCAGTGCGGGGGGGAAACCACCAGTCCGGTTTGCGCTAATGCAAATGGCGGCACGAGGCTCCAGGCTGCAGGGAGAGGGAGAGGAGCCCGATTTGTTTAGTGTCCTGCTGCTGGCATCTTCTCAGCTACCAGCATCTCTCGGGCTGCCCTGCCGTGGTGTATCTCAGCAGCCTTAGGCAGGTACCGCGCATCCCATCGGAGCCATCTCTGCCCCACTGTATCTATCCTGGGGATCAGCAGAGAGCCCTGATCTCCAGGGCTGTGAACCCGGCCCCCTTCGCCACTCCTTGGAAAAGGACGTGACCCTCCCACTGCTGAGGCTTGCGCTGCCTGACTGGCCCGGGAGCGGCCCGGCCCCAGGCAGCCTCCTCCTGGCCCGTGTAACGATGGCTTCCCTCGGCTCTGCTTGCCCAGAACTGGAACGCGACGCACATGTTCCGGGTCTCCGAGGAGTTCTTCACCTCGCTGGGGCTGTTGGGGATGCCGCCGGAGTTCTGGGAGAAGTCCATGCTGGAGAAGCCGGCGGACGGTCGGGAGGTGGTGTGTCACGCCTCCGCCTGGGACTTCTACAACCGCAAGGACTTCAGGTGTGTGGGGACGGGAGGCCAGGCCCGACTGGAGAGAGAGGCTGGGGAGCCGCTTGACTCCACGCACAGCCTGGGGAGGGTGGGCTGGGGAAGGGGACAAGGGCCACGTTAGCGCTGCAAGGAATCGGGTGGGTGGGAGGGAGCTGAGCGCGCCACCTGCCAGGGGACACGTCCGGTTGCCTCAGTTTCCCAGCCCAGCCCCACTTCTGCTTTCTTCCTAGCAGCTCCTGAGATAGGAGTTAGGCCTGGTCTACACATACTGGCATAGCTAAGTCGGTCAGGAGTGTGACCCCCCCCCCCGCACCTTCTAGCCACGTAACCATGCCGGCAACCCCCCAAAGGTGACCCCCCCTGCACCTCCAAGCCACATAACCATGCCGGCAACCCCCTGTGTGACCCCCCCGCACCTCCTAGCCACGTAACCATGCTCTCAACCCCCAGTGTGAC